CCCCCCTCCCCACTGTTGGCTGTGCTCTGCACACCCCTGCCAGCCCCCGAGGGCTCCACAGGGTGGGAGCTGCTGGTGGAGGAGGTGGCCCCCCCACCGCCTCCCTTAGTGCACCTGGGGCCTCAGCGGGTGCCCATCGGCGCCCGTGGGTGCAGCCCGCTGCTGGCAGCCACTGGAGGGCATTATCCGCGACATCCCGCCTCCTTCTCCGCCCTGCGTGAGCCTCCTGCCTTCCCCGGGCACCGACGCGTGCCGTGGAAACAGCCACATCGCCCTTTTCTCCTTTGCTCATTCATGGTGGGACGGGGGGACTGGGCAGGGGTCAGGCCAGCTGGTGCCAGGCTGGGCTGGGATGTCCCTTGAGCACTCAGGAGCTTCCCAAACCACCCCGATGCCTCGGAGCATCACCAGCCTGCCACGACGTGCCTGTGCAGCAGCTCAGAGCAGCAGGGCACGGGTGGAGGATTTTCTCTGAAGCCAGAGGTTAATTATGCTTTATTGGATAATTTTCAGCTGCCAGCGCTGGCAATAAAAGGGATTTCCTCTAGATGGCACGCTTATCTCTGCACTGGAGGGAAGCCCACCAGCCTGCATCCCCCGCAGGACCCCAGCCGTGTATTTTCAGGAACGTTTAACTTATGTCCTCTTAGATCACAATTTGAATGCTCAATAGCTAGACTGTACAAAAGCCTGGAAAATGGGAATAGGAAAAGGCATTTCATATTGAGCGCTGCTGCGATCCAGTTAGCTGGGTGATGCTAAATATCCATCTTGAAGAAATCATAGAAATTTCCAAGTAACATAAAGCCAGATGTGAAACATCAGCCTTTCTTTCATCAGCCCTCAGTGCTGCTTCTTCCATGTGAGTGATCCATTTTCCTCTTCCCAGCAAGGGTAAGCAGTGGTTTGCCTGCAGTAAGTGCAAGAAGTGTGTGTATGTGAAGCCTCAATACCCCCAGAGTGGCTGGATTAATTTCAATCTGTCTGTTGACAGGTTTCCCCTCTCTTGCCCCTGTGCAGCTCAGGGTAGCAGATTCTTCAGGTGGTTTGAAGAAAGGAACAAAAGTTCAGACCTGTCTGGAGCTGAGATTCACCCTTCTGTGCATGTTTAGCCACAATATTAAAGTGGTGCAGTTTAATATTTTTTCCACCTGACAGTCCTTTACTAAATAAGGGGAGAGGGTTAAAGGTTCTGCCTCTGCTTCTCTACATGTGTGAGATGCCTCACATCTCTTCCCATAATTTAGGTTGCAGTTGTTTCTCTCTGTTTATTCAACTCCTTCCCAAGATGGGAAGAGGGAAAGTGAGCCCTGTGCTATATTTCTGTGCAATCTTATATAAGGTCAGGAGGCAAGATATATTTATGAAGGTCTTTGCAAGGCAGCTCCATTGATATCAGCATGTTCATGCAGGGCTGATTTTTCAGAAGGATACAGATGGATCAGGATCTGATTCCCAGCTGGAGATTGCTGGATGCTTCCACAAAGACTCCTATCCCCAACCTTTTTCTACATGAAAAAAATCCCAAACCAAACCAAACCAAACCAAAATAAACCTAAAACCTTTTTATACTGATCAAACTATATTTCAGTAATTTTCCACCTTCTCTGTCACTCCCTCCTTTGAAGGCCCTCTCTGTACTGCTTCTGGCACCCAAGTTGAAGGTCCTCAGCTGGCACTTCTGGCAGAAGTGGACTTTTGTGATCTCAGTGGGTGAGGTGGGCATGAGCTGCTGAAACGCTGAATGCAGAAAACTCAGCATTAGGGATTTCCTGGACAAGTGTGGCATGATCAGATGTAACATGGAAAACCTGGATTCAGAAACTTCATCATGTGTTTCTAAATCCTTGTGGGTCTGGCCATTTATTCAGGTTCTTGCACTGGTGCACCCACTTTTGGAAAATATGATTCTCTCCCACATGTATATCTCACCTCCCAAAAAAACCTTGAAAATCCTACCTTCTATTTTCAGGGGATTTTGGAAAGAATGAAGTGATTTAGCAGGCTTGTTTTCACAGGGATATTTTTCCTTGTGTGGTAGGCACAGTTACCAGGCTGTTCTATACACATTGCCATGTGCCAGAGCATAATTGCCTTCCACATGCATTGGCCTTTGGCTAATGTGTTTTTTATGGCAATCAGGAGAGCTGACTTTGGTGAGTCTCAGAAGTGCACCTGGTGGTTTATGGCTTGAAAATGCAGTGTTCCTCTGAGTCATGTAAGTATGTGTATCTCTTTTCGTGTCAGATTGATGAAGAATGGTACAAAGAAAGGGCTTAGAGCAAGTCAAGTTAATCAGTTGAGTGTTAAGCTGTGGATGAGCTTGTCTAGTGGGCTCCAAACCCACAAGGGATGGGATCAGTTATGAAGAGAGAGCAGGAGGCAAAGTTTTGGAAATGCAAGCTCAAAACTAAGGTCCTAAAGTCAGATCATAGCACCTAAATGAACGTGTTTTTACCATGTTTCCCCCTTGCCTGAGGAACAGAAAAGACAGGGATAATTGTGCTCCAAAGTTTCATGGGGACTCAGCTCTGCAAATAGGGTTCCTGGGAAAAGCCTTCATTGAAATGCAGGCCTTTTTTGGTGTGGACTTTAAGACACATACATTTGAAAAGTCAAGTCAACAAACCCGAGCTGTCCAACATCTGAACGCTGCAGGGATGGATATTGGCACTTGGCTCCGGTGGTTTTCAATCTGGGAATTTCATGTATCTCTCACTATCTGTCACCACCATTCCCACTGACCTCCCTGTGCTGGGAGCTCGTGGTGTGCAGGCTGCAAACTGATCTTTGCAGCTGGGAGCTGGCAGTGCGGGGCTGGAAAAAGGGCTGAACTGCAGGAAGCACTGAAGGGCTGAGCCTTGGATATGGAAAGAAGAGGAATAATATCAAAGGAAATCACATAAGTGGAAAAAGAGCCCCCTGGGGCAGCCCAGGCAGCAGCAGGTCTGTCTTGTTCATGTTTTCAGAGAAGTTAGAGGTCAGCCAAACTTGATAACGAGGTAATAAAGAAAAATCCATCACTGAGCCTTGGGGGACTTGTAGATGCGGTTCTCATCAGAATAAACGAATTTAGATGCTGCTCGGCAGAAGCAACAAGAACGATTATGGATCACAAACCCAGCAGATCATCTGGAAGGGTGTGGGAGCAACGTCGGCGGGGCTGGAGCTGAACTTTCCACGATTCCCAAGAGCTTCCCCTCCCGGGGCTTTCCCCCGCTAAACCCCGCGCCGGGAGATGCTCTTTGGGTGGGCACGACCGGAGCCGGGGCGGGAGCACCCTGCGGTGCTCCGGGCTTCGTGTTCTGCCCTCCGACTGCACCCCCACCAAATAACGCTCTGGGCGGACGGCCAGGACAAGAGTTTTTCCCTGTGTGGGGGAAAAAAAAACAAAGGAAAAAAAAAAAAAGGGTGCCCTGATCGTTGTGGCTAATTTTGCAGCTTTCAGGATCTCCGACCCGGGCGGAGACACTGGGACACCCAGGGGAAAACCTCAGCCGTGGGGATCCACCTGCTGAAGCCGTCAGAGCAGGGCTTCAAACACCCACCCCACACGCCTGGATCAAACACCTCATTAAGGCAGGCGGGAAAGACAGTGAAAATCAATTTAAAGGAGAAAAAAAAAATCGGTTGATGGCCTTTATTTTTTTTTCCCCCTACTTTTGAGACTTTTTTGAGACTCTCTCCACTCCAGCAGCACTCATCTCCACGCACGTTTGATTCCGCACATTTGACGTGAAATGTAAAGCAGAGTTGGGTTCAAACGGGAAGCGAGGCTGTCTGTAAGGAAATACTGCAGAGAGGAGAGCAGAAAAATTAAAAATCTGCCCAAGGAAAAATGCTTCCGTCCCAGCCTAGCATGCCCGGGCTCAGCGGGGCGATGACAAAGCAATCTTTTCGTGTAGATCAATAGGGCTTTTCTTTCGGGAGACCACATCATTTCTTACCCCGGCGCACATTAAAACGCGCCCGTGGCTCCGTGTGTGGATGCACGGCCGGGAGCGCGTGTGTGTGTGTGTGTGTGTGTGTGTGTGTGTTTGTGTGTGTGTGCGCTCCGTGTGTGGATGCACGGCCAGGAGCGTGTGTGTGTGTGTGTGTGTGTGTATGAGAGCGTGTGCACCGTGTCTGGGATCCCACCATCTGGTTTGTTTCAGCCCAGGGTTTCCCTTTTCTAAATCGTCTCGGGACGGGTGTAGTTTAGGTACTTTTTCTCGTTTTGATTTGTTTCTGCAGCCGATCTTGCGTGGCAAAGCCGAGGCTGAGACCGACTCGGCGCACAGAAGCCGTTCGGAGACGGAGAGAGCGGGATTCATTCACTCTCGTTCCATTGTGGATCAGCCCCTACTTTAACCATAAAGTGCCTTGAAACAGGCAGAGATCGCGTGGGTGCCGGGCGGCCGGGACGCGCTGCTCCTGCAGCTGCGGCGCTCGGGGTGCGCGATGCCGAGCGCCAGAGCCGGGTCCAGGCGGCAGCGGGACGAGGCACCGGCCGCATCCCATCAGCAGCGCCTCGCATCGGCCCTTCTCGCCTCCCCCGTTCATTTTCGACCTCATCGCGGTCCCCATGACCATGACTACAGCAGCAAGCGGCTCCACCCCTGTTCCCCGTGGCGGGGGGCTCCCCCCGAGGTTTCCCCACCTCTGCAGACGGGGAGAGGCGGCAGCCGGGGCAGGGCAGGGTGGGCAGGCAGCAGACACCCACATCTGTTTCGCTTCGAGCCGTGCGGGGCCAGCCTGCACACGGAGCGATCGGGAGGCAGCTGCCCTACAACCGGGGGGCGGCCGAGCATCTTCTCCCCCGGAGCATCCCCCGGGAAGTGTCCCCTGCCCCCGGCCGCTCGCAGCGCGTCATTTTGCTGCCCCCCAGCCCTCCCCTCCGCCGCCCTGCAGAGGCACAAGGCGCAGCTCCCGGCGGTTCCTCGCTGCCATGAAATGCACCAAGTGGAAATTCAATCGCCCCGTTGTGTGTGTGGTCGAAATCTCTGGCAGCTGCTTCGGAATTTTTTATGACACTTTCGTTTATGTAGGGGAGGCATAACTATTATTTTACTTAATAAAAATGGAAAGCGGCTCGGGTCTTTTCCCTCTCCGCTCTCTTCCATTTGTTCTTCCCATCGCTTTTCCACCGGGCTGATGAATGGAGAGTTTAAACAATGTTGGTAGGAAAGATGCGGCATCTCCGAGGCATTGCTCCGCGTTAGACAATTATATATACTTCTGTATGTGAAAAATAATATATCGGGGAAAGAAAGACAATAAATATAGACATAGTTGAATACATAGATACACGCAAACTTATGAGAGGGAAATATATGCGTATGTGTTGTGAACACAGGTTAGGAACATCGAAGAAGTGTAAAAGTGAAAGCTCAGGAAAGCTCCCCCAGAGCTGAGACGCGCCCGCGGGACAGACTTCCCACTTTCCCGAGAAACTCTCAGCACGTTTTCCCCTCTACTTTCCCCTTCGGATCGAGAAATTCTTCCCGATGTCCGCGCGAGGAAGGAGGATGCGATCGACTCCGCGCAGAGGCTCCGGCTCTGAAATGCTGCTTGCAGTGGAGATGCGCGGACGGAGGCGTCCGCTTCTGCCCTCTCCTCGGGGTCCCGCCGAATTCGCCGAGCCTGTGCACCGAGTCGTTAGGGCTTGAGTAATTGTGACCGGCATTTGGAAGCGGGGCCGCGCAGCTGTTTGGCCCGGCTCCCCGGTATTAGTGCTGGAGATTTTATCACCAAATGCTCGCACCTGTTAACGGCAGAGACTGGCAATTCATCACCGCGGATTCTCACACTGCCGAACGCGGCCCTGGCGGGGGGACGGGGACATCTCCTCGTGGTACCCCCTTGGAGGAGCCCATCCCCTTCCTCCCTCCCCAAGCATCCTCCCACGGGAAAGCAGATACGTGTTTGCAGAGCCTCCAAGGGGAGAAAACAAACCGAACCGAAACCTAAGAGCGCGAGCGTGGTTCAAAGCGTCCGCGACAGAGACAGGGACAACCTGCTGTCACAGCCACCTACGGGACATGGGCTGGGCAGCTTCAGCCGTGGATGTGTTCCCCGGACTGCGCCAGGGCAGCTGCGAGGGGGGCAGCGGGCTGTGCCACCCGCGGGGACACTGCGGCGGCTCCCGGGGACCTTGTGTGCTGCTGTTTAGCCCAAAATTCTCCCGCTTCGCCCGCAGCCCTACAGCGACAAGGTGGGCGTCTGCTGCCCACACCTCCTCCTGCCCGCCGTCAGGGAAGCGGAGGCAGAGAGCGGCAGCAGGAGCTCCCGAGGCCGCAGGATATTCCCCTTCCCGAGGGGATCCTGGGCCTGGCCGGGCTGCGGGCGGGCCGCCTCGGAAAGTGGTACCCGGCCGGGCCAGGCTCCTCGGGAGGGGATGCAGGACTCGGGTGCGGTCCCAGCAGCCCGCGGACACGCACAGCCTTCGCTTTGGTTCTTTCTGGCGGGAGAGAGGCTCGGCAGAGCGCTGCTCCTCGCCCTCCGGCCCGCACCTGCCGGGCGCAGCATCCCTTCCGTGGGAGCCCTCGGAGGAGGCGGGTTTCCAGGCAGGGTGCTCCGGCCTCGGTGACGTGTCGGTGACGTAAGCGCGTGGAGAAGGGCACCGGGGATCCCCAAATTCACCGGACCCCTCCAGGGGGCCGAAGGCTCGGTCCTGGAGGAGTGAGGGTCCCTGTCGGCGAGGCTGCGGGAGCTCAGCAGCTCATCCCCCAGCTTCGGGGATGGGCAGCCCTCGGGGGCAGAACGGACCCTCCGCGGACCCCCGAGCCGAGGAAGGCGACCGTCGCACCGCGCAGGAATGGGGTCTGGGAGCCTCCAGCGCCGCGGGGCGCTTGGGCCGGGGAGGGGCTTTATCCAGCGCCGATCGCCCCCCTCCTACAGCAGCGGCTCCGGACAAGCTGGGGGCATCCGAGCGCCAGGGGAGCGGGCAGCGCCTTTCCTCGAAAGCATCTCGGGCGGGGGACACGCTCCCCGGGGACCGGCCGGGCAGTCCCTCATCGTGCCCCGCGGGGGCTGCGGCGGGCGCCACGTGATGCCGGGGCCGTATAAAGGCCTGGGGAGCGCTGGCAGCGGGCGCAGTGTGGGAGCGTTTCCACCGGGTCCCAGCTCGGGAGGGGTGGGGAGGGGGGAGCCGCCTTCCCACTTCTGCCCTCCCCCCTCCCTCTTCCAGCCCTCCGGCACGGCCCCGGGCCCATCCCGGGAGCCGCCGCTAGGTGGGGGGGGGAGCCCGGCCCCGCCGCCCCGGCCGCACAACAATGACTTTGGGCAGCAGCGGCGGCGGCGGCTGCGGGATCATGTCCGAGCGCTCCCCGGAGGAAGAGCCGCTCTCCGAGGTGGAGGACGCGGATATCGACGTGGTGGGCCCGCCCCAGGATGGGGGCAAGTACAGCGAGGAGGAGGAGGACGACGAGGACGAGGAGGACGAGGACGAGGAGGACGGCGGCGATCCGCTGGGGCTGGCGCTGCCGCGGAGCGGGGCGGCCAAGGCGCGCATGGGGGGGTCCCCGGAGCGGCTGTCCCCCGCCGGCGGCTCGGAGCCGGCCTGCGCCCGCGGGCGGGGGGGAAGAACCCGCTGGTGAAGCCGCCCTACTCCTACATCGCCCTCATCACCATGGCCATCCTACAGAGCCCCAAGAAGCGGCTGACGCTGAGCGAGATCTGCGAGTTCATCAGCGGGCGCTTCCCGTACTACCGGGAGAAGTTCCCCGCCTGGCAGAACAGCATCCGCCACAACCTCTCCCTCAACGACTGCTTCGTCAAGATCCCCCGGGAGCCCGGCAACCCGGGCAAGGGCAACTACTGGACGCTGGACCCCGAGTCCGCCGACATGTTCGACAACGGGAGCTTCCTGCGCCGGAGGAAGCGCTTCAAGCGGCAGCAGCAGCTGCACCCGCCGCACCCCGAGCTGCTGCTGCGGGCCGGGGCCGCCGACCCCGCCGCCTTCCTGCCCGGCTTCGCCTACGGACCTTACGGCTACAACTACGGCCTGCAGCTCCAGGGTTACCCCCACCACCACCACCACCATCCCGGTGGCGGAGGCGGCGGCGCCGCGGGCGCCTTCCCCTTCCCGGCGCCGCACTGCCCGTTACCGGCTCCGCCGCCTCCCGCCGCCGCCTCCGTCTTCTCCGCCGCCTCGGGGCTGCCCTCCTTCCTGGGCGGCGAGCTGAACTGCAGGAAGTCCTTCTACCACCCCCAGCTGAGCCCCACCGCCCTGCCCGCCGCCCTCCTCCAGACCCTCAAGCCGGACCCCTCGCCCGCCGGCGGCGGCGGCGGCGGCAGCGGCGGCACCAACCACCCCTCCCGGCCCTCTTTTTCCATAGACAACATCATCGGGGGGGCCGTGCCCCCGCCGCCCAGCACCAACCCCAGCGTCGCGCCCGCCGCGCCCTACCCCGCCGGCCAGGCGGGCCCCCCGGCGCAGGTCCTGGCCGTGCTCAGCCCCGCCTTGGCCCCGGCACAGCCCCAGGTCAGCCTGGCACACGAGCCGCTCCTCCAGCCGGCCCAGAACTTTTCCAGTAAAATCACAACCCTCAGCAGCTGTCATTTTTAAAGTGTGCTGGGGACTGGGGAAGGGGAGGGGGATGGGGGGAGAGTCGCGAAGCAAACGGCCCCTTTCCAGCTCTCCCCCACTCCTCCGAAACTGCTCCCCTTCCCTCTCCCCGTGTCCCCCCCCATCTCCTCCTGTTGTGTTTTAAGGTAGGAAATATTTCCTTTTTTTTTTTTTTTTTTTTTTTTATTTTTTATTTATTTCCTAGCAATTTCCAGGCTCAGTGGCATCCAGATCTGTTTGTCTCTGTTTGCTCGGGCAAAAAAAAAAAAAATTCAACAAATCGGGAGGGCGGGAGGAGGGAAAGAATAACACGATTTGGTCCTACAAGCGCCAAAGCGTATTTATAAAGTGGCCGTAGCATAAGCTGGGACCTGGGCTGGTTGAACACGCAACGTCTTGTGAGGGGCGGAGGGGGGGCATGTTAGAACGAGACGCTCTTAGGGTCGGAAATGTTTCCTTTGAGAGGTGCGGGTTTTCCGCGGGTCCCCCAGCTCGCCTGGGACAGCGGCCAGGGGAGCTGCGGACGCCCCCGGCCGCAGCGAGCCCCTTTGCGTTCCTGCGAGTCTCTGTGCCGGGAGGTTCTGCCATGTGTGTCTGTCTCTCCCCTGCTCTCAAAGAAAATGTTTTAAAGGTCCGATCTTATTTTTAGTTTCTTTGAAGCTTCGGGTTTGGTTTTAAAAGGCACTGTTTAAGGTTTCTTTGTTTTTAAGAAGAAGAAAAGTCGGTGAAACTCAGGACTGCGGTTTTTTTTTTCTTTTTCTTTCTTTTTTTTTTTTTTTTCCAATTAGACATTCAAATGCACGTTTAAAAGAAAATCGGATCCGTCAGGAAGTTTGGAGAATTCCCATACTATTTTTTTTTTAATCCCCGTTTTCTCAGCCCCTCCGTGCGTGGGTTTTTTGGTGTATTGGTAATTATTTGTATATAGATTATTCGGGAGCTAATGAGCGGAGTCCAGTTAACTCTTCACTGGTTGTGCATCCGTCATATCTATTTTATTGAGAGAATCTGTGAATAATTTGATGTGGAAAAGGCAACAGAATTTTGTCCACCGTTGGTGTAAATTAATAAATGTTTGTGACCTGGTTAAAAAAAAACCAAACCAAATCGTTCTTTGCGATGTCCTTTGTCACGCTGAGAGCCGAGAGCCCCTCTCGGGCCTCGGGGAAGCCGGAGGCTCCCAGCCTGGGGCCGGCGACACCCGGGCGTTCGGCAGGGGCTGAGCAGCCCCTCCGCGGCCGGGCGCGCAGCCTGCGCGGGGCTGCTCCGCGCCGCGGCTGCCGCTCCGCCCGGCCCGCGGTGGCGGTCCCCGCTGCAGGTCCGCGGGCCGGCAAGCCAAAAGATCCCCAGATATATATTTTTTGTTAATTTTATTTTTTATTTCTTGGATTTTGGAATCTTCCAGGGAAAAAAAAAAAAAAAAAAAACCCAAAAAAAAAAAAACCAAAAAACCAAAAAAAAACGGCACCAAAAAAAACCCCAAACAAAACCAAAACTAAAAAATACCTCTCGTGTTTTCAGGGGGAAGGAGGTGGCGGCCGGGAAAAAGGTTCTCCCTTCTTCACCCCCTCCCCCCCACCTCCTTTTATTTTGTTTGGAAAAGTTGACACATGAGAAAATAAGTTGGAGGGTTTCCCCCCCGCATACACGTCCCCCTTGGGCCTGCAGAATCTGAATGACCGAATGAAACTTGATCTCTACCTAAATTTTGCAACAACTTACAAAGTAAATAAACATCTTAAAGCGCTCCCTTCTCTTCCAAACTTCTCTCCCCCCCTCCAATTTATTTATTTCAGGGACCAAACGCGGCTCTTTGGTTTGTTTGTTGGCAGGGACCCTGATCGAAAGAATCGAGGCCTTTCTGACCGGGCAGCCAGCTGAAGGAGAAGGAGAAAAAGGGGGAAAAAAGCCGAGCCGTACGAGGCAGGGAGCGGGGACGGAGCGGGTCCCGGGCAGCGGGGCTTTGTGCGGGGCCCTCGGGGCTCGGGCAGGAGCCGGAGCGGGGCGGTGTGCGCCGGGGAGCAGGGGGGGATCGGCTTTTCTTTTCTCTTCCCCCACCCATCCCTTTTTTATCCCCCCTCGGCTGCCCCTGTCTGTGCCACCTCGAACCTCCGCGCAGTTTGTTGATGTTGTTCCTGAACGTGCCGCCTCCCCGCAGCGAGCGGTCTCACATCTCGCCTTCACACACATTTGCTTTTGAAAAGCGATCTTCGTGTCCGGCACTTGGTTGTCTCCCTTTCATGTCCAGCTCCTACAAAAGGGGCTACAAGACTCGACATGGGAGAAAAGAGGAGGCCAATGAATCTATTTTCCAGATTGCCAAGCACATGGTTGGAAATTGAAGGGGCTTTTGTAGCATTTCCCCTTCCTCCCTCCCTCCACTCTCCTTTTCTTTTGCTTGTGTGCAAATTGTTCAATTGCTCTGGCAGGGGTGTTCCTGACAAGCTCATTACTAGAAGGTGCCAGACCCCTCCTCTCCCTCTCCCCCGAAGTCTTTGATGAAGTTAAAATGCGCTGATAGCTGCTCTCGGGGCTATCTTTGTTCAGCCTCTTTTAATAACCGAGCCTGCTTTGAGGAGACGGGATCCGAGGGAAGAAAGCGATGTGCAGCGAGGCTGGGTGGTGGTTGTGCGCCTGGCAGAAGGGGGGCTGGTTATTTTAATATAAAGTAGCGTCTTTTAATAATTTCTGGCTTGTTTGTTTGTGAAGCGCAGGAGGAAAAGGAGCCAAGGGTGCCAGGAGCGGATAAGAAATGGCAGTGGATGCCCGCAGGGATGAAGGAGGCGTGTGGCCCCTGCAGTCCCGCCGGTGCAATGGGTTCTCCAAGTTGGTGGTCTCGGCGCTTGAAGGGATGGAGGGGGGTCCTCTGCAGGGAAGCGGTGTTTCCCTGGAGAGCCCCCTGCCCCCACACGCTCAGGAGAGGGGGATCGGGGGGGGTCTCTGGGACTGGGACACCTTTCCCCGGCTCCGTTCGTCTCCTTTTGCCTTGCGGAATCATTGTGGGTTTTTAAGCCGCGGTCGCCGGACAGGATTGAAGCTGAGCTGACTTGGGAGCGAGGGATTCCCCATTAACGTGGTACCCACGCAGGAGGGGTCGGGCTCGGACCTGCGGGGGCTGCGACTGCAAGCGCCGTCGAGGTTTTATTTTGGGGGGAAGAACCCCGAGCGCCTCTAACATCAGAATTTTCCCCATTCCCTGAATTTCCCCGAAGCACCGCAGCTCGTTCCGTGCCCCGATCCGTCTCACGCCGCCTGCAAGTGTCTGCGTGGCTCGGGGGGGGACCCGGCTCTGCCCGGCCGCAGCACTGGGGGGCGGCGGGGAAGGAGCCGGGGGTCTCCCCTGGGTCCGGAACGCCCTGGCCGGGCTCGGTCCGGGGGTTTCACGAGAAATTTTGCCTCGGCTAGGCGGGACGGATAATGGCCCCTAATTACGGGGCTGGCTGGCTCCGCGGCCCCGATCTTCACGGGACGTTATTTTTAAGCGTTCAGCGAGGATCATTTTTCACGCCTCGCTGCCTAAAGGAGGGTTTTATTTATTTATTGGAGGGGAGGCGAGGAGGACACCAGCAATAACCGAGCACTGAAAGGAAAATAATTAGCTGTTGCAGTCGCTGCTTGGGAGTCCCTGGCCAAAAAGGCGACTTAGCATTTCCCTTTTCCTCCCCTCCCGTGAGTAGGCTCCGTAGCCCAGGTTCTCGGGGCTGCTTTCGGGAGTTGTTTTTGTCAGTGCTAAACCCCGGGCAAAGCCCTCCAGGAGCCCGATCTTTTTATGCACGTTTGGGTTTTTTTTTTTCTCCCACTTCTCCCTTTCGGATCGGCGGCTGTTTCCGAGTAGGACCGGGGAGGGTGCAGATTTTCCTGCCTTGCTTTTTGGCTTTGGTCACGCATTCATGGAGACTTTTTCCCCCTAATTTGCTCCCACTCCTCTGCTTTCTGTATGTCAGATGAAAGGCTTGTAGCAAAACCGCGACGCTCCCTGCGCAGTTACTCCGCGGCGGATTTCCGTGTGTGCGCAGCCCGGGAGAGGCGGAAAACGGGGGATTCTCCTCGGGTTTGTCGGGGCGGGATAAAACGATCCTGCCCCGGAATATCCCCGTCGGGACCACAGCGGGAGGGCTGTGTGTGTGTAATTTCTTTCTCTGCTTTCGCTTAACTAAGGCCGTGTTAAGTGGTGCGGATGCCGAGGAGGGAAGCGAGCGGCCCTTCCCTCGCCCGCTGCGGGCTGTGGGTGCGGGACCCCGGCCCGCTCGGCCCTCACCCCCTGCCTCTTCCCCTGGCACCTTCTGCTTTCCATTACTGCTGATTTGGAGAATTAGAAAAGGTCAAGATCCTACTCCTTTCTCCGGTAGTTTTTTTGTTTTTTTCTTTCTAGTTTCTCGCAGCCCCGAACAAAAATAAATCATCCTGGATTATGAAATCCACCTTAAGACATCAAGAACATCTTTTCCAATAGTTTGATCCTTCCTCCAGGACTGCCCTGGCCTTTCCTTGTGACTGCGCAGAAACTCCCGTTTTCACGGTGAATTTAGGATTTAATAATAACGTCCAATCTCCCTGTGCCCCAGTGCCCGACCTGAAAACATTGCTCTCCAGCATCTTCTTTCCCTCCCCATCTCTCTTTCGTTTCTTTCCTTCCCCGAGCAGAAAGTAGAGAAACGAGATGGTTTAAAAAAAAAAAATTAAAAAAATCCCGTTTTCCGATCTGGAGAGGGCAGGAAGAGCTGTTGGCTCAGCCGCGGGAAAATTGCTTTGGAAATTAAATTGGTGCTTTTGAAATCTCCTGGAGATATTCGCGGTAGGTCAGGGACCTGTGCTCGCCCCTGTGTCCGTCTGTCAGGAGAGGAGAGGGGCAGGGGCTGCGCGCTCTGCCCTCACCTCCCGGACCACGGCTCGTCTGACCTTCTTCCTCTTCGTAGCCTTTTATTTCTCCTCTGCTCTTTTTTCACTTTTTATTTCTCCTTTGTAATTTCCCACCTTCTTTCTTTCTTCCCTTCTTTCCTTCTTTCTCTAATTATTTTCCTCTTTCTCTCGTTATCATTCTTTCTTTCACCCTTTCCTTCTTCCACTCGTCTAATTCTTTCTTTCTTTCTTTCACCTTTTCCTTCTTCTACTCGTCTAATTCTTTCTTTCTTTCTTTCTTTCTTTCTTTCTTTCTTTCTTTCTTTCTTTCTTTCTTTCTTTCTTTCTTTCTTTCTTTCTTTCTTTCTTTCCTCTCTACTTCTCCCTATTCCTCTTTCCTTTTTCTCACTTTCTGTCTCTCCACCCTGTTAAATTTCTTTGTGTTTTGGTTTTTCTCTCTTTCCCCCTTTTCAACCATTTTATTTTGGTTGTTTGGTTGGTTTTTTTTTTCTCTCTCTCTCCCTCTCTCTCTTTATTTTCGTCTTTCTCCCTTTTCATTTTTCTTTTCCTCTCTCTTTTGCTGTTACCCTGTCTAACGATTTTCCTTTTAATTTTTTTTTCTATTTTTCCTATTTATTTTGCTTCCTCTCTCTTTCTTTTTTTCATCTTTTTTCCTTCCTTTCCCCTCGCTGTCTCTCTTGCTTCACCCACTTCTTCTGGTGTTCGTCGAGGGCTGCTTTCCCACTCTGTCCAGATTTCCAGCTGTGTCCATCCCGGGAATCTCTCTTGGCGGCAGCGAGGGGAGTCTCTCCTCCTTTGAACCAGGAGCGATTCCGGGGCTCCCCTCCGGGCTCAGCGCTTCCCCTGCCCGTGCCCGGTGGGCTGCGGAGCAGCTCAGGGCGCGTTTTGGAGCGGGGGACGCTGGAGCCCCACACCCCTCTCACCGGCCCGCCGGGGCATTCACCGGTGCATTCACCGATGCATTCACCGATGCATTCCCCGGTGCATTCTCGGGACATTCAGCGGGGAGGTCGCCCCGGGACGCGCCGGCCCACGCGGGTTGCAGGGCTCAGGGTGCGCCGGTGCCGCTCCCCCCTGGATCGCGGGTCCTGTGCAGGACCGATTCTCACTTTATTAATTCCTTAAATGAGATGTGCATTGGCACCGCAAGCCCGTGGCAGCAACAGGTGACGCTGAGATCCAGGACGGGACAAAACCTGCTCGCGGCAGGGTTTTGTCCGCGCTTTCCCGATCCTTCCTCAT